CTTCCCCTGGACCCGCCTTTGCATTTACCCAAGAAAGCCCGGGGAACGTTGGTCTCATTTATTAGCATACAATATCTTTATCATTTTGCTTACTTGATTTGCAAACGACTAGATTTGAATGGACTTATTAATATATTATAATTCACTAAGAATAAGAATTCCAATATATGCAGCACTCCTCTAGTTATTCTGCTGTGGTTTGTAAGATAAGATGCTCTTGATCACTGATTGTTGGCTTTTAATTGACTGATGACTGGGTGGTCTCTGCGCTGATTGGTTAAGTGCCTCTGTTGGGGGTATGTAAAGACTTTGTTGAGTGGCTGGCCTTGAAACTGGACGTGATGTTACCCCTCGGTTTTGATGAGCAAATACTCGTGGAGAGGATCTTGACTGAAGACGGCTCCGGATCTCTGAAGACAAAAGATATCATCAGCTGATACGATAGGTACATACCAATTTCATTTAAGTCATTTTATACGGAGAGACGTATCGTCCATTACGTAAATACGCACGTTCGTACTTGAAGTGTTRCATTTTCATACTTGAGAAATTGTTTACGGTATATCTTTTCATTCACAAATAATACATCAATCTTAAAWAACAATATGATTATAAAAAAGACAACAAGTATGTCGAGGCTTAGTTGATTGTGTATTATGACTACGCAACGCGTCCTGTTCTCGAACCTCGTTAACAAGGATTTATTATATCAATTTTTTACAGAAAAATCAATGCATAATAAAGACCCTTGACGTTTTCCCATTGATCTGSATACACATGTTACCTACACGGATGTAGTAACATTCAATCAATACAAGCGCTGCGAGTTTTCGTGAAATCCCGCATTCCATATAATCGGTGAACAAGAATCAGCATTTCCAGTAAAATGCTATAAGTGCTATAAGAGAAACATTATAAGACACGACTTGTGGTGTGAATCAGACTCTACAAAGACACAGAAAAAAGACAAAGGATATGGCAACAATTTTGACAGATGGAAAATATATCAAGATTTTTTCCCGTAATCCTCCCTTTATCACAACAGGCCCAAGTCCATCTTTGCGGTCATCTCTTTTGTTCTACAAATATCTAAATCTCTTGTTAAAAGATGCTTCAAAGATGGCGATTTTCTATATGTGAGGAAATCGCGTTAATTTCTTTCACAATTTCTCTTGTTAATTGAATGATAATCGTAAAATGTAAAACCTTCAATTTCAGCCTCAGCAGTTCCTGGTCTAGCTTTGTTCGATTCAGCTACAAGTCCATTCTTCTTCTCTGTAGCAATAAATGGCGAGCTGGGTTTACATCCAGGAGATGTCCACTTGTATTGTGTGAAACTTTGCTGAGAATTGGCACGAGGACTCCTAAGGCAAAAAAAGGTTGTTTAGTTGCAAGATTGACTTTTTTGGATTGCGTGAGCTTTATGGACTTCATTTCATACGACAGYGTTTTTCTACAYAATTTAAGGCCGTCGTAAACGCTTTATGATTTGTTTTGTCAAAGAATATTGAACTGTATTGAATATTGAATTAGGTTGAAAGTATTCAATGTTTAGGTCACTAGAATTGTTAAAAGTGATTAAAAATATGAATTTGTCAATCTTTTGTGGTTGAAAATATTGTGTTGCCCATGCCCTTTCTCGTAAGAGACTGGTATCCTTTAGTGGTATTTTTTTTTTTAATTTCCAACGATTACCCCCACCCCAAATACAGGGGAGTCCCCCTCTGGGTGRTGTCTATTCCCAACTTACTTGGGTGGATCCTCTTTGACTTCTACTTCGTTTGCATCTTTTTCTTTCTTCTTTACTTCATTATACTGCTTGATGGCATCTACATCAATGCTTGCCTCTTGTTGCAGTAATTGATCTTCATATGTTGGAGAACGAATCACTGTGTTGTAGCCTTCTCTGAATTCACGGTCAGATGTAGTGACAGCACGTATCATGTCCAGAACAAGCTCTTTTTCTAAAATCAATAAGATCACTATCAGATTTATGAACCTACCCCATTGTGCAAATTCATGTAATCCTATCTGTCTTATTCACTTTATGGAGCTTTACCCAAATCAGATTTATGGATCTACCAATATAAGGGTTTTTGTTAAGGGTTAATGTATTTATCCCTATTTGATTTATGGAGCTACCCATATCAGATTTGTGGACCTATCTATAAGGCTACCCCTGAAATATTTATGGACSTAGCCCTACCAAGTCAATGCACCTATCAAGTTTATATACCTACCCATATTAGGTTTGTGGACCTACTCCAATCAGGTTTATATACCTACTCCCTATCAGGGTTATGCCCCTAACCCTTATCAGATTTATGGACTGACCCCTAAAAGGTTTATGGCGTTCCTCATATCACATTTATGGAGTGAAACTTAACAGSTTTATACAGTCTTACCTCCCGTTTTATGCATATACCCCTATCTGGTTTATGAACATACTCCTATCAGACTTATGGGTCTAATCWTACCAGATTTATGGGCCAACCCCTATCTGGTTTATGGAACTATTCCTATCAAGGCTTTGAACCCACCCCTATCAAGTTTAGTGTTCCTACCTCTATCAGGAGCTGACATCAACCATGACTGAACAGCTTGAACAGAGTCTGTTTGCAAAATACCCCCAAGAAGCTCCATCATCTGCAAAATAAAAATTCTCAAAGTAAATTCAAGTACAAAATGGCATTTTTAAACATTATTAATCTGACAATCACTGCGCAAGTTAAGACGATGCACTTAATCCATGAAACTTTTAATTTAAAAATTTAACTTCTACGTTGTCTATTGTGTGCCCACTCTAGCATCACAAAATTTGGGAAAATCTATTTTTTACATTCAAGATGGAAGAACAGTTGCTCATATGCTACTCACATATCCTTCATTATCTGGGAATAGTGTGATGTGTTCCAAGGGGCGGTCTTGCCCTATAGGACGTGCTTCTTGTTGTGTAGGTGGACGTTGTATCATCTGTGAACCTGGTCGTTCACCTTGTTGTGTCATTGGCCGATTACTTTCTCTTGACATCATTCGTGATTGGATATTCCTCTCTCCATTACGAGATGGCGGAACTTCTCCACTCCTAGTCCTAGGCCTCTCTCCTTGCCTGGAGCCTGGGCCCTGGTAAGCATTTGTCAGAGTGTAGGGATTCTTGGTCTTTAAGCCTGCTGCTTCAGTTAACTTTCTTAACTCCTCTCTCCAAGTTTGAGTTATGGGAACTGAAAGAATCAAATAAAACACTACAGAAACTCTTGTATTGCAACAAGCCAAGATACAAAAGGTAGCCAATCAGGAAATTTCTTAGCATAATTTATATTGTTTCATAAAATTTATGAAATAAATCAGCAGTTGTAATATATAATACATGATTCACAAAAATGGCTTGTAAACTTTTCCAATTTAGTTAATAAAACCCGTTATTTTTTATTTATATAGGAGTCCCTTATCCTTAACTAAGATTAAAAAAACATGTTTATATCATGAAAAATGTTTTGCAATCTAAAAATGCAAGGAACTGCATGGTCAAAACATCAAATCATGTGAGCCAGTTACTGTGAAATATTACCACCTTGATCCCCTAATTCTATTATAAAACGAGTTTATGAAATCTTATATTATCATAAAAATAACAATGACTTAATAAAATAACCCGCGTAATGCAAGCCGTGCTTCGCAAGAAAAATGGAAATCTGAGAATGATCAGACGAAGTGTCATCAAGAACTGTTAATTGAAACAATGCAAATTATCACRCGACACCGCATAATATATTCTCAGCTCTTAGCAACTATTTGTTTTCTAAACGAAAACATACAAAATCACGTCTACTTATTCAAAAATKAACTCTAAACACATCAAAGGCTAGTTAAGCACGAAAAAAGCTCAGTTTCGTGTATRATTCATGCGTACTAGCTGTATAGTAACAATGAAGGTTGTGTTTGGTTTGCTTATTTGCGGCGAAGTTCTTTGGAATGTTTTCAAGAGTCGGTCGGGAAAGTATCTAAACTAAAGGCCGAAAAGTCAATAAAAAAGTCAACAAGAAACAAATAACTCATAATTTTTACTATAAGATAATTATTATTTTTGATGATATGGCTATTGCACGCTATCTCWTACAATTAACACTCCATAGCAACGACAATGTGATGGTATAGCACACGAACATCTCAGCTAACTTTAAGACTCAGGATTGAATAGGCAGAAGACAAAATAATTCTTTTGTATATGGCTCTACGATGAACTTATATTTACATAAAACAGACCAAAGGCAATTTCTAAGCATACACACAACCACAAAGTACAAAACTATCAAGAAGTTAGCTCTGCGTGGGTCTCTTTGGCTTCTCGTTTACTATAAAACTCATACAGATAAAATCTAAACTTCTTAAAAAAGAGTCAACTTACCCAAGCCTATACAAGGAACAGCCTTTTCTTTGACTACTACAAAATTCTCAGCATTTATTGGCATACGAAGGCCTTTCAGAGGTCTTTGTCTCATTTGGTCTATTGTTGGTGTAGACACCAAGAAACGGCTCGAGTCTTCTTCGGCTGCAGTAGAATCGATAACAGTACAAACAGGAACATCTAGCAAACCTTTCAGATGTCTAACTCGCTGGGGATGTGGATTATGTCGCGCAAAGAACGGGTTTTTGCTAGAGCGACTTGGAAAGCTTGCTCGACTTCCCGGCCTTGAATTGTTGACGGGCCATGCATAGCGACTCGTGTTGGGAAGACTGTCGTGGAAGGATTCTTGTACCGTACCTCGTACTAACAAAGGCTTGTTTCCTGATGGTAGAAATGTTGTGGGCATTTTATCCATCCAATAAGTTATAAATTAGTAGTAGTCAAGTATCAGACTTTGCCAAACTTATCGCGGGCTGTAAGCTAGCAATAAACACATCACTAATAATTGGTTCAACGCTACCATGGTAACGGTGTATTCTCCAGGGATAGAGCAACTGCCACCACAGCTATCCCGTCAGATTTGAAGTTAAAAGGAGACGGGGGGGGGAGTTCAGTTTGTGAGTGAATCACACACAAAAAAAATAAACAAAAAAATAAAAAGATCAACAATTGAAAACAGAAGTAGCAACAACAAATAAATAAAACAAAAACAAAATAAAAACAAAAAAAGCAAAGGCAAAATGCAAACTAGACGATCATGGATCACTTACGTGGGCTTCCTGTAGCTGCAACAATGGTATTTCATTTTCACGATACAGTCTTACAGACATTACGCTCTACTGAAAAAGTTATATAATAATAATAATAATAATAATTTTATTTTTATACAGCGTTTATACAAATCTGCTCTAAGCGCTTTCAAATTACAAACAATTACAATGACAGAGTCATGGTAGACTGCGAGCTTAAGATGGCGCCTCATGGCTGCTGCTCTTAGTCCGTCCCAAGATATCAAACTTAAAAATTACAACAATAAAAATTAAAATATAAATGACACTACAAAAAATACATACAAGGAATAAAGAAGCATGCATGATGGCCGGTGGCTCAGATGAGCTCATTCGCCCTTTGACAGGTCTTGTTTTTAGTCCTGCTGGGTGTACATGCCACCCTCCTCACCAGTTAGACTGGTGGGGGAGCCGGTTTAGACGCCGACGACCCGTCCATGAGGCAGGTTGTACTGGGTTACAATGTTACCAGTAGCAGACTCATCGTCTGACCTGACATTATAAGCGCTTTATAAGCTTAGATTATTATTATAGAAAACTTTATTGAAATAAACTTTCAATATAGCTTTTTACAACACTGCGGGCGTAGCCTAGGCAATGTGCAATATACATGTCCTATATATATATAGTATGTATCTATAAGAAAAAATTACAGAAAATTAATAAAAAAAGCGCAATGAGTGATATCTTTAATGAACAAGCCATCGATGCACTACTGCTGGCTGATGCAGACAACGCGTTTAATTCACTGAACCGAAAAGGTTTCTTCACAACATTGGCCACCTAATGTCCACCAATGGCCGTCTATATCAAGAACTGTTACAATGTGCCTTCGCGGCTGTTTGTACTTGGAGGGACCGAAATACTATCATCGGAAGGAACTACGCAGGGTGAGATAGATAGATGGATAGATACTTTAATGCAAATAAAACTAGCAGCCACAGGGCTGAATTATGTTATCGCTTACAAAAACAATTCAAAATTATCATAAAGATTCTATATATTAAATTATATATGTACAGGGATAGTTAAAAATTGAAGGTCAAACTATTGGTGTTTATAAAACTATTTTTAGAACGATTAGTTTTGAACTTAGGTTGAAAGATGTGCTTTTTCCTT